CAAAATGACCACAAAGAGACACAAAACTATTACAAAAGACATCAAATTACCTCAAAGACCCACAAAAGAACCACAAACAGAAACAATAGGACAACAGAGAAACAGAAAACGACTACAAAAGACATTAAATTACCTCAAAGAGACAAAAAACAGCCACGAGGAGGAACAAGATGACCTCAAAGAGACACAGAACAACTACAAAAGACATCAAATTACTCCAGAGACACAAAAACACAAGAAGAAACAAAATGACTCCAAAAAGGACAACAGAGAAACAGAAAACGAATACAAAAAACATCAAATTACCTCAAAGAGACACAAAATAACCACAAGAGAAAAACAAAATGACCACAAAGAGACACAAAACGACTAAAGACTTTAAACTACCTCAAAAAGACAAAGAAACAACCACAAGACAAAATAAAATGGCCACAAAGAGACACAAAACTATTACAAAAGACATCAAATTACTTCAAAGAGACACAAAACAACCACAAGAGAAAAACAAAATGACCACAAAAAGACACAAAACTGTTACAAAAGACATCAAATTACCTCAAAGACCCACAAAAGAACCACAAAAAGGAAACAAAATGACCACAAAGAGACACAAAACTAAAGATACCAAATCACCTCAAAGAGACTCAAAACAACCATAAGGAGAAACAACATGACCATGAAGAGACACAAAATGGCTATAAGACATCAAATTACCCCAAAGAGACACAAAACAGCCACGAGGAGGAACAAGATGACTACAAAGAGACATCAAACAATTACAAAAGACATCAAATTACTCCAGAGACACAAAAACACAAGAAGAAACAAAATACAAAGACATAAAACTATTTTAAAGAGACAAAAAGCAATGAAAGGAGAAACAAAACGACTACAAAGAGACATCAAATTACGCCAAAGAGACACAAAACTACAAAGAGACAGAAAATGATTGCAAAGCAACACGAAACAACCAAAAAGATATATAATTGCCCCAAAGAGACCCAAACATTTACAAAATGACATAAAACAACCACAAGGAGACACAAAAAAACCCCAACTTATAATGACTACAAAGAGACCAACAATCACCACAAAGTCTGTGTGTTGTGCTTCTCTGTAGGAGAGGTGGTGGGGCCCTTTGCATATCTGTGCCCAGGGGCCCATTGTCTCATAATCTGCCCATGACTATAACAAATCTGAACTATATAAGTGTTTTAGAATGAGAGAGCTGAACAGTTTTGCACACATAACAGTCCAAGATGTACGTTAATGTAACACATGGAGTCAGAGACAGCAGCTTTGTATAAGACCCACCTTGTCTGACTTTTGTATCTGTTGCTACAATGCCCGGCCCACAGAAAGAGACACGAGACGTCAGCCCAGCGAGCACGAAGTGAGGACAGCACTGTAGTTCCTAATGAGGCTGAGGAGTGATGGCACCCAGCAACAAGGTGCTGACAGAAGTGACCAACACTAAAGCTCCAGAGGTGGACCGACACACTGACTGATGTCTCAGCCTCTCAGAATGAGCCTCTCTGTCCTGTAACTCACCGCGGGGCCTTTCATCTCCCACATTTCTTCACAGTTAGAAAGAGTCAACATTCTTGTTTATTGGAATTAGCAGCTCTGCTTGGCATGTGCTGAGCCATTCTCCGAGGGTTTAACCTCCCAAAGAGGACAAAGCCGGGAAAAAAAAGACAATCCTCCGTCATTCTCCTGGAGCGTTTCCTGGCAGGCTTTTTAGCCTCTGTATATTGTCGAGTTCTCGTCTTTCTCACGAGTTTGCGTCCAAGGCACCATTGTGCTCCAGCTCTTCAAATGTGGTTCCATTTCCTGCAGGCACTTAAAACATAAACAATTGGGGAACGCTGTTTCCCCATCAATGGACGTCTATTTTGATTTTGCGGGGTCTTTCCACAGGGGGAAAAACATTTGACAAGACATGTTCCCTTTTCTTTTTACTAGAGGTGAAACAAGGTTTAGTTTGAGGCATGATAGTTATTTAAAACAGCATTAAAGGAATATCTCACCCCCCAAACAACTGTCAGTAACTCACCCTGTGTCACATACCTTCATGGTGACCCAAGAACCCAAAAAGGGAGGAAAGTATTGAGGAATTGAAGTCATAGGGGTTCGTGATTAACAACAATATGAAAACATTTGTTAAAAAAACTCAGTTTTCCAATGACACAGCCCTTTCTGAATGGAAAGTGAGACTTACTTACACTCTTTTCAAAGCCAGACTCCATTGACAAAAACGGTAATTTTACCTTGCTGAAAACGGGAGCTGCTGGTCTACCACTGCCACTTTCAGTTCGTTAGTTTATATCAATGTGTGACTTCAGTGTTTTAAAGGGCTAGTTTCCCGAAAGTCACACCATAAGACAAACCATTTTATTGAGGCAGCATTCGACGGACATCTGCTGTGTTCAGTGAGGTAAAACTGCTGTTTTTTGTCAATGAAGTCTGGCTTTGAGGAGAGCATACATCAGTTCCACCTTCCAGTTCCCTGTCAGAAAGGGCTGGCTGTGCTCCTGGACACTCTGTAGCACTTTACACCACTGTCTTATTTCCAGCCCCCCCGCCATTGGCTCTCTGCTTGTACCAGCTCCTCTTCTTCTCTGCTCCTGTGGCAGCTCGACTCCCCTCCTCACCAAAGACGTATAAAGAGAACTCTGATGCTGTTGCTGTGTCTCGTGTGTGACAAAGAATAGACAAGGAGAGGCTTGTGTTGAGGTCAAGAAATATCCCGAGCTAAACGACCAACAATCCCATTATTATAAAGACAACAGCAAAAAAGATATTGCCTGGCGAGTCATAGCTGTGGAGATCAGCTCTTAAGGTGAGAAATGAAGTTCAATTAGAGGCTGTCCACACATGATTTTAAGCTAACTCAGAGGAGGAAGAGGTTCAGATCGTTCAGTAAAAGTAGCAACTCATCAAATACCGCCACTTTGTCAGTGGAACTACACGTCTAGATATGACGCTCTACGTATCCTCCTGCGTCTGTTTTGGATGTTCAGGCTCTTTTCAAAATACACTTCTGTTTTCACAGGACATGTACAGTGTCTGATCGTTACATGCATAAAGTCTGTTTCAAAATAAACTTACAACGTAGGAAAAAAACTTGATTCGGAGTTTTTTTTCTTAAGTTTAGGCAACAAGAGCACGTGGTTACGTTTAGAAAAAACATTATGATTTAGCTTAAAATTCACACAGGAAACAAACAGCAGGTTCCCAGGTGAGAGTCCGGAGTTTGTTCGATCCATCCATCTCTGAGGTGCCTCACTGACTGGTGCCGACAACACTGACGAAGTTGCAGTTTGGGAGTGAGAACGGGCTGACTCCTGAGGGTCATATCGGCTCTTTAGATGCTTTAGTTGCTTTTGTCTGCTCTTTAAAAAAACTACTTGCACAATGCTTGTATTTTGTGTCATCTGTCCGAAACAATTGTGTATAAATGAAAGGTTTGGGCTGTGTAGGTCGGGGGTGGGGAGTAGCGTGTGTAGTTTAATGATAGTTCCTCTCCCAATTTCCTCCTAATGAAATAATCCCTGTCTACCTGACCTGGTACTTGCCTGGAGTGGAGTCTGGAGATTAAATTAGAACCATCTTGTAAATCAGCAAGCAGGACAGGAATATTGTGCGAATGGCGTGTGTGTGCATATGTGTGTGTGTTTTCCTCGGACGGGCAAGTCTCTCGGCTCAAGCCCTATGGCCTTGTGTCAAGCATTTGACCTTTTGCTGGTTTTCAGTGTCAAGGCTTTTTAGGTACCCAAGTGCCGCAGTCTGTCTCCATGGAAATGTGGCTTTAAAGGAACATCCATCACCGCTGAAAAGGGTGACCCAGAATACCCAAACACACCCTGCCCACTCGTTTTAAAATTCTCCGACATGGCACTCTTCGCCGGGCACACACATTCCACTTTGCTCTGGTGAAGGGAAGCGAAGGGGAAAGGCTACCTGTTGCTACGGCAACACCGGCCAAACACAGAGGTCAGACAAGCGTGTCCGTGTCATTCCTAACGTGACAGCGGTTTACCATAAACCCGGCCCGGCGTGGTAATGATACTCCTGCGCAGTGGGGCGGGGCTGGCGTTCGGCTCTGTGGATGCTGGTCGGGGCCCAGTCTGGCCACACTCACAAATGGGGAGGCAACACAGGAAACTGGGGCTTCCAGTAAAAACATGTAATTAGAAACACATTGACTGGGAGCTTTTGGCATGATACACCCAGCAGGAAGGGAGAGACACATGCAGGCAGGGATGCACGCGGGGGGAAAAGAAATGACTGAAGTGGAGGACAAGATCACTGGGTCACTGGGAAAGTCCCAAGAGGAAATCAAAGGTTGTGATACGAAAATAAAAAACCAGAGACATGGACGGTGACAGGCGAGACGCATCGTTACAGAGAGCAGAGCGATAATCAAGAGCAGAGATATCTCAACACTCAGTCTGACCTGTCAGCCCGATTCGGACCGACAAGTCATGCGGCAGACAATGATATTCCACTGATGGAAATCCCTACTACTACTACTACTGTTTACAAGATGCAGTATAAATGCTACTGTATTTGAGAGTGCGTCAGTATGGCCTGGAGGGCTCACCACTAACAAGCGGGCGGCGGGCAGCACAAGCTCAGCGGGCAGCGAGGGCCTCAGTGAGGCAGGGTGACTCGGGCCACGCCCTGCATGGCCACGCGGTGAACCAAGCTCCAGAGGGAGAGCAGGTTAACCCGGCCGCATGTGATCTGAGAGTCGGCGCCAACCACGCTCCTCTGGAAGCCTGACAGAGGCTGATGGGAGCACAGAGACATCGAGCAGTTTTGAAGTTTTATGCAACAGAGCTGAAATGTAATCTAACACCAGTAATTAGTTAATTGTTAAACAAACAGCACGCACTCAAAGAGGTGAAGATAGACACACTGGAGGAGTTATGTGTTTTTTAGGAAGCCAAAACCACACATGGCGAGATTTATTGAGTTTGAACAGCAGCCCCGTTTCACAGACTTCACAGAGCGATGATGAGAAGGACTCGCGGCTCTCCCACTTCACTCCGCTGCTCGTGGGATTCTCACAGTCGAATCCAGAGATACCAGAGAGCCTCTGCAGGGGACGGACGTGAGAAAGCGTCCCCGCGTCCACAGAGAGAAACCATCAGAGGCGCTCTTTACAGTGTGGCTTTACAGATCAGGCAAGTGGTGACTGTGGCCTCAGAAAAAAAAAAGCTTTAATTAGCCCTCACTCCCAGCAGACTGCCAACCCAAGAACAGGGGTTAGATTAACAACGAGAACACTTTTAATCAACTCTCAGAGCGTTTCCTTGCAACCCCCCCCCAATGTCAACAGTTCGCAAACACATAATTAGAACGGGCGGAGGAAATGGATGTTTGGTAGGTGATGAGGTTTTATACATTTCAAAATACAAAAGTGTGAAGTGACAATTCACAGTCTACAGATGCAGAATAAACAGCTGGAAAGTGTGCATTAATCACAGGGGCAGTAAACGAGGAAGCAAATGGGTCTGGACATGAAACAGGACAGAGTCGCACCTCTGGTGGAATACATGAAATACTGTATTGACCAACGATTACAACTTACAACATACTGTAAGGCACGATGACCCTGGGCCATTCATAGGAAACAATAAATGAAAGTCAACACAAACAGTACTTTGGATTATCTTTGTCCCTAATACAATCTGGGACGCAGAAACAGTAACACAGTTTCAGCACCTAAAGGCAAGAAAGTCTTTCATCTTAAGTTAAAGGGATGATTCGCATTTTTTGAAGTAGGGTTGTATGTGGTACATTTCCACAGTAAGTGTATTACCAAATGAACTGCACCAGAGTTCGTTTGTTACTGTACCAGGACCACCTCTTCAAGAAGGTCTCGATCCGGTCGTTTTGGTGCACACCTGAGTGCGACTTCTGTGTTCACACCTGCCCAAGCAAACTTAGATACGATTGAACCGAACCAAACAGGGCAGGTGTGACAGCACCCTTAATACTTTTTGTTGCTGCTCCCTCCTCACTCCAGCCTGCTTCTCTAAACTGGCAGCATGTTGACTGACATCTCCTGTATGTAACACAGTGACTACAGGTAAGTACATCATACAACCCCACTAAAAATCTGAACTTTCCCTGCAGGTCCAACAGTTATGAAGTCGTCTACCAGATTATACAGTACCTGAAAACAGTTTGAATCAAGCATCCATTAGTACGACAAAACATGAAACTTTCCCGTGCAACTTTTCTTGGAACCGTTCATAACTTTTATAAAAATGAGAGCCCTTGTAGAGCGGTAAAAAAAAGGAGCATGAAAGACTGATGACAGTATGTTTATACTCTCTGGCTACTCTGTAAATAAAATATTTAACTTGTGAGCTGTTTCAGATTTTGTAGCTGGTTAGCATTTGTGCTTTTAGCGCTCCACTTCTCTCCGTCTCCTGCTCAGCCATCCTGTTTTAATACTTTTATTTTGAAATAATAAATGGAGCAACATGGTTTTGAAGTGTGCTCGAGGGCGCAACAGAGTCTAAATATTAAACATGTTTGGGCGCCAACAAACAGGTGTAAACATGTAGGAAGCGTACAGGTAAAACTACAGAAAATGTGCTCACAGGTGTTTTTTGGCACATGGCGACTGGCCATGGGTGTACAGTAATGTGTTCAGACAGTTGGTCAGTAAATGCTACGGTGGAAGAGGTCAGGCTGTGACAGTACGAACAGTAACACTGGTTAGAAGTCGGAGAGACAGACACAGCGGCTCTGGAGGCAGCTCAAACATATCTGGGAATATCCAAAACAATATCCGAACAGTATGACAAAAAAATTACAAATGTACAGCCTATGTTTCAATTTCGAAATACCAAATGTTTTCCATATTCGACATGTATGTATCTTTAATAACAACATTTCTGCTATCTATCCATCTGTGTATAGTATGTGTAGGCCATACTGGTTGCATGAAGCATGGGACTGAACTTTATCCGAGGAATCAGATATCATTCTCAGCCAGTGGTTCCATAATTGGCTCTAGCTCTCCGTCTCCCCGTGGACATTCTCCATATGTACTTTGAGGTAGTCGTTCCTGGTGAACTTCTTATGGCACAGCTGGCACTCTGCCATGGGCCGGTTCGGGTTGTGTGTAAGCTTGTGCCTGCTGAGCATCTTCTTCAAGCTGAATGACAGGTCACACACCTAGAAAACACACAGGATTTAAATAGGAATAATCAAAGTAAGCAAAATAAACACACTTTAAGTTTTAACTTGTTTATCACATTCCTCTGCTCACTGCAGAGTTCAGGCTTATCACAGGCACAGCCGGAGACACACAGAATGATTTGTAAATCAGACGCGACGGACCTTGACGACAGATATTGCTTTTTTTTTTTCACCAGTAGCGAGAGGGAATGCATGCAACTTAACATCCATCACAAATGAGCCATTTTACACTGTACAAATGACTCCATCGTCCTCTATCAATCATTATAATCCGCCGCTGGCTGCTGTTCAGCTGCAGTTTAACGTACTGCTTCAAGAATCACAGCATGTGTCCTCCTCACTCCATCTGTGAAGAACTTCAGGGCAATGAATTACATTCAGAAAATCTCAGACACTTTACATCTGTGGCCTGTGAGATATGAAAGAAATCAGTTCTGGTTTGAAGTGATGCCGAGCAATATATCGATTGTACTCAATGTTTCACAGCTTATTCCATATTGGATGTATAAAATGACTATGTTGCAAACATTGAGTTAAACTGTCACTTTTTTAAAGCCACTGGCATAAACATGACACGTCACACACACGTGGCGATACTGTGTGAGCAGGCAAGGTGTGTTGTACCTGAAGGGCTCCAGACCGTGAGCATTTAGTCACTTTTTGCAACCATGGAGCACCAGTGCGACATGCAAATACTCTTAATTTATGAACTGCTTAGTTTGTTTCCCATTCACAGTGAATAAATTCTCACTGTTAATGGCGTCACTCTTATGGTTTCACTTCCTGCTAACGGCTAACTGTTGACTGGAAGCTTTATGTTCAAAGCAAACACATCAACTCTTCTCGCCCGAGATGAGACAGGAACATCAGAATAAAAACCCCAGTGGTTCTGCTTTGACTTATTTTAATATCAACAATACTTTATTCAACTTAATTATACCAGTATTCTATTTAACTTTATTACAGCAGTACTTTGTTTAACTTTATTACAACAGTATTTTGCTTTACTTTATTATAACACTATTTTCTTAAACTTAATGCAACAGTACTTTGTTTAACTTTGTTATAACAGTACTTTGTTTAACTTTATTAAAACAGTATTTTGTTTAACTTTATCATACCAGTACTTTATTTAACCTTATTACAACAGTACTTTGCTTAACTTTATTATAACACTATTTTGTTAAACTTAATGTAACAGTACTTTATTTAACTTTATTATAACACTATTTGGTTAAACTTAATTATAACAGTACCTTGTTTAACTTTATTACAGCAGTACTTTGCTTAACTTTATCATAAGACTATTTAGTTAAACTTAATTATGACAGTACTTTGTTTAACTTTATTAAAGCAATACTTTATTTAACTTTATTATAACAGAACTCATTTACTTTATTATAACAGTACTTTGCTTAAATTTATTATAACACTATTTTCTTAAACTTAATGTAACAGTACTTTGTTTAACTTTATTATAACACTATTTTCTTAAACTTAATGTAACAGTACTTTGTTTAACTTTATTATAAGACTATTTTGTTTAACTATATTAAAGCAATACTTTGTCTAACTTTATTAGAATAATACTTTATTTAACTTTATTATAAAAGTACTTTATTTAACTTTATTAGAACACTATTTTGTTAAACTTAATTATAACAGTACCTTGTTTAACTTTATTACACCAGTACTTTGCTTAACTTTATCATAAGACTATTTAGTTAAACTTAATTATGACAGTACTTTGTTTAACTTTATTACAGCAGTACTTTGTTTAACTTTATTAAAGCAATACTTTATTTAACTTTATTATAACAGTACTTTGCTTAACTTTATTACAAGACTATTTTGTTAAACTTAATTATAACAGTACTTTCCTTAACTTTATTACAACAGTACTTTATTTAACTTTATTACAACAGCACTTTGCTTAACTTTATTGTAACACTATACAAGTACTTTGCTTAAATTTAAACTTTATTAAAATGGTACTTTATTTAACTTTATTGTACCAGTATTTTATTTATCTTTCTTACAACAGTACTTTGTTTACATTTATTAAAGCAATACTTTGTTAAACTTTATTATAACAGAATTCATTTAACTTTATTATAACAGTACTTTGTTAAACTTTATTATAACAGAACTCATTTAACTTTATTATAACAGTACTTTGTTAAACTTTATTATAACACTATTTTGTTAAACTTTATTATAGCAGTACTCATTTAACTTTATAACAGTACTTTGTTTAACTTTATTATACCAGTATTTTATTTAACTTAATTTCAACAGTGCTTTGCTTAACTTTATTATAATAGTTCTTATTTAATTTTATTATATCAGTACTTTGTTTACATTTATTATAACACTATCTTAAAATTAATTATAACAGTACTTTATATAACTTTATTATTGCAGTGCTTTGTGTATCTTTACTATAACATTATTTTACTTTTTTTATAACAGTACTTATTTGATTTTAATATATTAGTTCTTTGTTCAACTTTATTCTAACAATACTATGTTATAACAGTACTTTACTATTTTAGTCTTCTACTGTAAATTGGAGGAGATTTCAAAATATCAAGATATAAATCATATATAGCGATATAGCCTAAAAATATTGCAATATTATCTATAAGTCATGTAGCCCAGCCCGTGTTTGGACACAATAATGGTCAAAAGTAAGATTCCCGTGATATTATTACGCAGTCAGTCCACAAATTTCTATTTTCCAGCTGATGTATGGTCCACAGTGGTTCTGTTTATAAGTCTACAGCCACATGATACATTTTCACCCAACTTCATATTTATTTGCTGTCCTGTTCTCACTTCACTGTCCCAGAGTCAGTAAAATATTAAGAATTTTATGAAGTGAACCGGCGACAGGATCTGATGAGAGCGGGGCCTCCTCGTCTCATCGTAACCCAGATGTTACTGGATGCTTCTACAACATTTTTAATGCTGTTATGACAGACACTGCTTATAGAGCCCCTCTAGCTTGTCTGGAAAATGTTCTTGGAACTGTGCAATCCTTTTTGTCTGACTCAAAATCCACCCCAAAATAAAATCCACATGTTATTTCTATTATCTTTAATAGTTTAGCGTAGAATTATTTACATGAGAATGTCTCTTCCGCAGCTGGGAAAAAGAAGCCAGATGAATGTTAGAGACACTTTCTGCTGATGCTTCACTGGCAATGAATAGGATACTGATTCTGTGGTCTCAAACAACAACTCCGTGCCCATTTTCTGGTCTGGGACTTGAGGCGATGCCACGGATTTAGGCTTATTAGGGTGTTAAAGCTCAAACGAGAATCTGGGAATCCAGAGTTGGGTGATGGATTAGACACGATTGTTTTTTGATGTTCTTCAAAGAATTAAGAGATATTTGGATTCCAGAGTTATGATCTATTGGCCATGACTGAGCTGTCTAGAAGAAAGGTTTTCAGTCCGACACTGCGGCCCCCTCGTCAGACAAAATCGAGACAACTGCGTCCACCCTATTTTAAAATTGCTTGAGTTTTTTGTCTGATCTGAGCCACAGTAATGTCAATTCATACTGAACGTGCACCACAAAAACTTTCATATCAATGGATTTGTGTATTAGTGTTATTCTTTGTTCTGCTTCTACTTTGGGGGATAATCATGCAGCATGTGCTTTGGATTTGGACGCAGTTGTCTACATGAGCTCCCTTTACTTTAGTATTTGTTTACATTTTGGCAAAAAGTAAAAGTATACTGAATTACCTTTTTTCAGTTCCTGTTTGCAATGTGCCCATGGACATACACTATCACTTGATTATTTTGGCACTGAAGAAAACTTGAAATTGTGTTGATTCTCTGGCAAGTTCTTAATTGTAAGGATTGTCTTTATTGCTGTGATTTCGAAGCAGATTTCATGGACACTGGTTCATGATGGAGTAAGGTCCGTAGAGTATTTGAGGGGGATGCCATCCCTCTTCTTAGCAAAGTGAACAAAATGCACCACCCTTGTTAACCTGCTGTCTCTCTCCATCCCCCTGGGTCCAGACCCAGAGTCAACATCTCGTCACAAACCGACATTTGGTCATGGACTTTCCACGTTGACATATGATGTATGACTTTTCAAGAACACTTCTGCTTTCTCAGGAAATGTACAGCTTGCATATAAACTCTTTTTGCAAAATACACTCACTCACACATTATATTGGCACAACAGGGCGGCACGGTGGTGCAGCGGTTAGCATTGTCGCCAGCAAGAGGGTTCCTGGTTCAAACCTGTGCGGGGAAGCCCCGTGGGTTTTCTCCAGGTGCTCCAGCTTCCTCCCACAGCCCAAAGACATGCAGATTAACTGGTGACTCTAAATTGTCCGTAGGTGTGAATGTGAGTGTGAATGGTTGTCTGTCTCTATGTGTCAGCCCTGTGACCGTCTGGTGACCTGTCCAGGGTGTACCCTGCCTCTCGCCCAATGTCAGCTGGGATAGGCTCCAGCCCCCCTGTCAACTGACGTTTTTTTTTTCCTTCAACAACAAATGCACGAGGTTACGTTTGGACAACTCACGTTGGTTGGGTTTATACAACAAAGGCACAAGGTAGGGTTTGGGAAAAAAGAACAGGGCTTGGCTTCACAATCATAAGGGAAGCAAACACCGACCTCCTGGGTGTCAGTGGTTGTTGGACCCATCCACCATCTGTCCTGCTCACCCTAGTCTGACTTTTGCCCCCTTGACATGCATTGTTGTCCCACCGCGTTTCCCCCTGATGCCACCAGGCTCTGTTACACATCAACAGCGACCGGCCACATATTATGCTGATGCGAAAGAATGGCTTTTTTTTGTCTAAAGTCACGGCCCAAGCGCCGGTATTTGACGACTTCAGAGTGAGACCAGGGTGCTAGAGTCCGTACCCCTCTTAAAAATTAACAAATCACCAACTGAATACAGTCAATAACCCTCTAAAAGTGTCTGTCACACTGACGTTAAACTAATGTTCATCATGTCTGTGTGACTAGATTTGACCAGGTCATGACACTTTAATCGACCGTGTTGGTGAATGAGCCAAACTACTTTGACTTCCTGTTGTTTTTAGAACAAAGGCATGCACCTGCCGCTTTCACCTCACACAGCATTGGTTTAAAAAAACCTGTGGTCTAGAATAATACTAAAAACCCATCACTTTAATTCTGTTTGAAAGGTGTCAAGGTCCCAGAACCCTTGGGCTTCACATTTATCCATCACACTGAAATGTTTTGAGAGGTAGACAGGACTTAATAGGATTTTGAATTCAAAAGATTCCCTAAGACAAAGTTGTGGCTTTCTACATGAAGAGCAGGAATTTGCCTTACGTTTCCAATTTTCAGAGATGGTGATAAAGCATTTAGAAAGTTGTTTCCAACATGGACAATGTCTTCTGTCACATGTTCCCTCCCTAGTCTCTGAAAATAATTATTACTCCAACAGTATTATAAGCAGAGGGTAATTTCTCCCTCTGATCCTCTCAATGTATTTACGTGAGATCAGCCCACTCGGCCCCTCCAGAGAAGCAAGATCACTATCTGCCTCTTACTGAGCCCCCTGACTCTTCCCCACATCTGGCCTGATGCCATCACGTATACACACACACAGACAAACACATGCAAGAATGGAGGGAAGGCTGGTTTGGAGGTAAATCAGAGGCAGCTGGATACTCACATCACATTGGAAAGGTTTCTCTCCTGTGTGGGTCCTCATGTGCTCGTCCAGTCCTCTTTTCTGGCTGAAGGCTTTGTTGCACTCGCTGCATTTATACGGCTTCTCCTGCAAAAACATACAGATACACACTGAACTTAAAGAGGGCACTTGATCTGTCAGTGTACAGCAGAATAATACATAAAACTATACTCAGTTTGGTCACATATGGACAAAACCTGGAGGATTTGTGTCCATTATGGCGTACAGCAGCGTAATGACACACACATGTACACACACACACACACACACGCACAGAAGACACGCACAGTGGAAAACACAAGATGTGGAAATATCCCAGTAACACACACAATCACACACTGATACCCTCTCACTTCACACCCCGGTGTTCTCCCTGTCAGTTTATGAAGATATGATATGAAAGGTTGTACAGCCCCTGCAGTAGGGAGGAAATGGCCGGCGCAGGGGCCATCAAAAACACATGGAATCCTCAAAAGAGTAAGAAAAACACGGCACAGAAGATCCCTTTGAACATGTATCAGAGCACTGGCACTCTGGGGCTGTAGAATATCACTCCTCTGTCTCCACACCTCATCAGTTTACCAAAGAACATTTCCTCTGCGCCTTTCGGAGGCCTGTCTCAGTGTCAGTCAAAGCAGATATCTCACCGTGGGTGTGTTTTTCACAAAAAAACTCCAAGTATGTGTGTGTGTCGGGTGCAAGTGTTTAGCAGGGTGGACGGCCTTGAAGAGTGGGTGTGTCCTGCAGTCAGAGGGGAAACGGTGGCGACACCTAAAAGACTTGAGTAGAAGCATGAAGATAGCGGGAGCTGGCTCCCAGTGTCACTCTTTGGGAAGCTGTTTTTGACAAGCCTGGCTGATAGCAAAGGCTCTACCCATTTAAAGCTTAGTTGTCATGGGAACAGGGTGAATGCAGGAAGTAAGGGTCCTGGGAAAGGCGCTATCATGTGGGCGGGGCAAGGAGTGCCCAGTGACACAGGATACAAAAGGAGGTAAAGATCAGGTTCGCTGCTTGTGTGTGAGCGTACGCATGTGTATGAGCGGCTTTAAGTATGCAACTGTTTGCGTGCAAGTGACTGAATAAAGAGGAGCGATGGAAATAAAGCAGTGTGTGTGTGTGTGTGTGTGTGTGTGTGTGTGTGTGTGTGAGAGAGAGAGAGAGAGACCTCAAGGAAACAGACTGTGATGATCTGCGTAACTCAAATTTCCACTTTACGAGGATCACTTCTTTTTCCATAAGGCCTGAATGCTTCTTGTATGACAAAGAAAAAAAAACCTACGAGGGGTCACAGTTCAAAGGTCAGGAAACACATGGATGGACTTAGGCGATGTGGTGTACCCAGAATGCATCGTTATGACCCCGGTAACATCGAACATCTGTACCTGGTGACCTTCACTCTTCAGCAGCTGTTCACCCAGCGACCTCTGACCTGACCTTTTCTCTCAATCTGACCACTCTCAGCAAAGAGCAAAGATGGAGTTTTGTTTATTTGCTCATGTGTCAAGTTAAATATGTGGATATTTGTAAAGCAGCATGCAAACAGGAAGTCATTGTGCTCTGTAAGGCTTCAGGGTGAAGTTAAAAATCAACAATGAAATCCACACGAAATACAGTTTTCTGTATTTTATAAAAAACACTTGTGATACCAGGCCACTTCCTTTCATAACAGAAATGTATTTTAATTTGAAACCTATTGTGGTGGTCATGAACAATGCCAATTCAAAAACACATTAAAAATCCAAAACAGGTACAACAATGGAAATTTGCTGCAGAAAGCCAAAACAAACACGTTAACATCAAAGACGGCGTGCAAAGTTGAAAACACACAAATCCCAAAAATAAATGCAACAGAAAAATGCTACATATCCAGTCAACTCAATGGAAACTCTCGGCCTCGAGGAGGAGCACTACGAGGAACAGCTTGATTTACGACCTGAGTGAGAAAGAGAGGAACCAGACGAGTCTGTTTGAAGCACAAAGTAAAATGAAGTAGAGCAGGTTCACAGGACGTGGGCCAGACTCTGAAGCGATTTTGACACAGTGCCCAAACTACACTAGTGTAACTACAACTTCCGAGTCCATCACATGATGCCATTAGGTCCGAGAAGCCCCCGCAAAATGACTTATTTCGCTCTCCGACTTTGATATATTGTGTGTTTTTGACTTTTTGACCCCTTTTTGACAGTCTTGGGCAGGCCTTGGCATGGTTTGGTTTGGTTTGGCTTGGCTTGGTTTGGTTTGGTGTGGGCCGTCCGCTCAGGGTAGCAGGGATTTGCATTTCCACTACAACAGGACTACCTTCTTGAAGGTGTGCCTTAAACTGATAATGACTTGTCTTGAGTGCTAAAGCAGCGGGCCAATCTACGGCTTAAGTCCCCTGTTATTTTTGCTGCTTGTGTTTTTCCACAACAGGGCAGGTAAAAGAAGTTTACCTGTTGGTGGTGAGCTTTTTGCAGAGGTGCAGTAAGAGCCTGTTGCCTGCAGCTCTTCATCAACATCTCACTGTGGCTGTTTCTGCTTTTACTCTTCCTCCCTACCGTATTATTAGACTGGTATTTATTAAGGAAAAGTTGCTGATAAAGTTCAGCTAATTCAGTGATAAACACATTTCATTTCCAATAGATTCTTCACAATAAAAGTCCCACATTAATTTGTTATGTAAAAACTTTTATTGTGAAGCAGCAAAATAAGGAAACGCTGAGTTTTCAGCAGCAACTTTACATAACTTCTAACACGGCTGATAACGAACATGAAACATAAAGCAGATATGTAAAGTAAAAACAGGATGCAGGAGAGAAACTAAACTTCAAACCACAGAGATTCAGGCAGAAGCTACAGACTTACTGAGATCTGAACACACACAGACTCTGGTCTCCTGCAGACAGAGGTGAGACGAGTCTCCCAACACACACACTCGTTTCATGGGGATAAACGGGGTTGTCGGGGTTTGGAGAAACATCACCGCTACCTCTAGGGTAAGGGTTAGGGTTACACTCTAGACCAACGGTGGTGGCTGTGGCTCAGAGGTAGAGCGGGTCATCCACAAATCATAAGTTCAGTGGTTCGATCCCCGGCTCCCCCAGTCTGCATGTTGAAGTATCCTTGAGCAACATACTGAACCCCAAATTGCTCCCAATGGCCGTTCCATCGGTGTGTGTGTGTTTAAAGTAGCAGGTGGCACCTTGTATGGTAGCCTCTGCCACCAGTGTATGAATGTGTCTTTGAATGGGTGAATGTGACTTGTAGTGTAAAAAGCGCTTTGAGTGGTCAGATGACTAGAAAGGCGCTATACAAATGCAGATCCATTGACCATTTTACTCTGGAGAAGGTCAGCACTGCGCGTCTAAACTGACGGATGGAAACGCAAATCAGTGCAGCGTGGCTTTACTCGTCGCGGCCAAGAGTGACAATGGAAAAGACCCATTTGTAGCGTGTTTGCTTGCTGATGTATTTGCTTTGGGGATTCATATGTATATTTGAATTGGCATTGTTTCTCAAGCTGCAGCACTTTTCTCCTAATGAAAATATTTTGGGCTGTTGTAGAGTGTTTGCCCTTGTCAGCCACCGTAGAAGGCAGAGATAGTCCTTTACTGTGTAATCAGAAGTTCTGGGCGAACATTAGCTTACATTTGCCGTGTTTATCTTTAACATTTAAACGTTTTTGCAGTTTTTAACAGAGTTTCCTCTTTTTAACAGAGCTTGTTGAAGCGGAGCGACACAGAAAGCTGGGACTGACATTACATCATATTAGAACTTGTATCAACAGGAGTAAAAAACATGTTTAGCAAGTTGGTTTGTGCAAAAAAAAAAAAAAGCTGAGCCATGCAGAGGTGAAATAGTTTGTCAGAAAGATGCAGAATAGCGTGAACACACTCAGTGAAGCCTCTTCCTTTACCTGCTGTCGTATATCTATACAAAACACTTAATCGTACTGCAGAGCTATGAATTGAACTGTGTATTATACAAGGTTTTTTTTTTTTTTTTTTTTCTTACAGTAGTGTGTCTGCTGTTGGAAGGTTTAGGCATAAAAGTTTAACCTTGAGGCTACTCAGAGTTTTTAAGTTTTCTAGTCAAAAAATTAAACAGCTTTATGTGCAGGAACAAAAGACAGAACCTTTTATATAGAATGTGTGTTTGTAATAACATGCAGTCATCACCAGAGATCAAAACAATATTTCAAAAAAAAATATCTTCATATCCAAAATGTCAGCGGTTTATATCGGCATCAAACGTGTTCCATTTCAGTTTGCACACGATGTGGTTTTTGGTATCAACACGCAAACTCCAAACGCATCCATCTCAAACGCTCTGTACATTAACAGCGAGCTGCAGCTCTTTCAGCCAAATGACATTTGTTTTGCTCGACAGTGACTTCATCTGGCTCTGCTGTTTGTAACTGTTCAGCCCATATTTCAGAGCGCTGTGAGCAAAGGCAGAGCCGGGAACATTAGGAACAAAACATCAGTCAGTGTAATCAGCAGCTCAGTAGAAAATTATACCTGCCTGTTTCTACTGCGGGATGTCAACCTGGGCAGGACACGTCCGTTATAACACAGTGTAATGGCAGAGCGCTGTGCTCTGGACAGCATTAAGAGGGGACAAATCTTTGAAATTAACAGCGCTGACAGGCTCCGACTGTCTCAGTCATAGCTGTATGAATTGATGATGGAAATGCATGATGAAACACATTTTAAGTTGCATTTATCAAAAGTGGCAACAACACACAACCAGATGTAGTCGCTTTGGTGGAGAACTTCAATGGGGAGAAGTGACGCGGGGGAAAAAGCGCCATCCCAGCCTAGGAAATGAGCTCACGATGTCGATTAAGAAACCTACCTTTTCCTTTCTCCACCCGAGCCCTGGCTCACTGTACATTTACATGTTCAGGCCATCACAACCCTGTTTCCTACATCTGCATCTGAATATTCTGCATTGTTAACAGTCGTCCATGGAGTCAGCTGGTCTCAGTTTCGACAGCAGTTAAACAAACGCAGTCTAAGTGTATGTAATTTTCTCTTGACTTTTGTGCCATCACTAGATGATTCATGAAAGAACCTGCAAATGTGGGAATTACCTCATGATTAAAT